ATGCCCTTTCTCCTGGTAGTAAGGCCAGGAGCGCCCCTAGTAGCGTCCTTGCTCCGTTTGTAGCGATGCCCTTTGTTACTAGTAGCGATGCCCTTGCTCCTAGTAGCGATGTGGCATGTTGGTTGGGACACAGACTTTATAGTTGGGGATAGGGCCTTTGATAGGGCCCAGTATCAAAGTCTGAGCGATGAGAAGTAGACTAAGTAGAGAGGACAGCTTAGGGGAATGCCGTTCCCACAAAGGTTAAGAACTTCAGACCTTTCCTCTTCAATCAAATGTTGCGACATGTCAGACAGCTTTCTATTCCTGGGGGAGAGCTGCCCTCTTGGACAGGACCAGGAGAATTTCAGATTTATATAATTCTGATAGCATAATATAATCATCAAATTATAATATAATGATATCAGTTTTCATATCATATGGCATCTTGCTTTGTGGGAGCGCGCTACATCATACATCCCTTTTTGCTACGTGCCCGAAAACGCGGTCAGACATGAACACTTGTCACCCTGAGGCTTCTTGACTCTCTCGAAGTTCTGCAAACGGCCGGACTTCAGCCACTTCCAGTGGTGGGGCTCTGAGCAAGTGAGCACTCCCCTAAGACATATGTAGGTTTCGCATCTCAAAAGTAGAAGGTCAGCATAGGCATAGACCAAACTTCATTGGCAACTGATGCAAGCTTGATTGATGGAGGATTCTTCCATGCACTTCACAGGCTTTAACCGTAACCCTTCATTGAGCTCTTGGGCCGGAAGAGAGATTCTTTTTTCAAGATCCATGTGAAACGGTACTCATGACCAACAATAGTAGCTGGTCATGGTGCACACCACACACGCCTTCTCCTTCAAAGTTTGTTTTCATCTACTTTGGAGGTCTCGTTCGTTGCTTGCCGTTGCTTGTCGGTCTGGCGACGGTCACAGGTATCTCCAACACATCGAAGACTTCCGGAAGGACCAACTCAGTCACTTGGGCGAGGCCGTCCGACGTGGCCGTGGAGACGTCGACTCCCGTCGTCGTCGACTACCGTCGTCGTCGACGCGGTTTCGCAGTTTCGGGGATAGAAGGAGCTGCTAAATCGGATCGGGGATCCTTAGGGTGTGCCTGTGTCTCGCACAGCAGCCTGCGTGGCTTTTGGACTTGTCATCTACAAAGCCACCGGTCCAGCCCCCAAACCAGTCTCACCAATTCCACCAAGCTATCCCATCCAGGGTCATCCGTCGATTCTCCAACGTGTCCCTTCCAACATGGCGGATTGGTAGATGTTGGTGGTTACCGGGTGGTTTGGAAGAGCTTCCTGTCGATTTGGTTCCCATGACGCAGGTGGTCTACCTGGATTATGCGGGTGCTGCCTTGTTCAGTCGCGCCCAGCTGGCAGCCGCGCAGGAGATCCAGGGGCAATAATTTCTAATAATTTGATGGTGAGTTCGGGGATTCCACAGAGTTCTGTTTGAATTTGGCGTTCATATTCACACCAGTGTTGTTTTTCGGGTGACACACACTTATAGAAATGCGTATTGATTCGGTTGCAGCCTAAGTGACAAACCTAAGGCTCCAGGTGAGTTAAAGACAACCAAAGCAACTTGTATTCTCCGTGAGGCCTCAAAGAAACCTCCAAAAAGTTCATCAACTCGAAAAACCGAAGAGTGTGCGAAATCGACAGGATGACGGCGATCGTGCTCATCTGCAGAACTCACTAGCACTTTACAGCAGCCTAATGGACCTGGAAACAGCCTGCACGAGGGTGAACCACTGGAGTCAATGTGTTCGAAGCAGGCACGTCAACTCGGCGTCCCGAGTTGATATCACAGACCAATGCAAGCGTCATTGTCAGTGCCAGACTTGCATGGTCCCTGGCACCCCCTGCATTAACAATCCAACTGCAAGGGTTACACACACACACAACGCCTCCTGAAGGGAGGCGAAAAACTAAGGTTGAGGCGCAGGTGCACGTGTGCGCGCAACCAAGGACAAAAAGATGAAGACATGAACAGAGGACAAGACAGGACAAAGGTGTACGTACGTGGTTGCGATGAAAAGGGAACCAAATGCACAGGGACAAAAGGTGAGCCAAACCTCATTACCAGAACCTGGGCGACCTGAAACCTAAATGTACAGTAGACGTGCGCGTACAGACTAAGGCCCGGACCGATGTGCGCGCAAGAGAAAGAAAGGAGTGAGATGGCAGGACATGAAGCAAGGAAAGACATGAAAGAAAAGAGGAGAAAAAGAAGTGTGTGAAGTGGAAAGGATAAAAAGGGAAACCAGATGAAGGGGACGGGAACCGATGAAACCCAACCTCATTACAACGACCTAGGCAGACCTGCCTAGTTAAAAAGTACAGGCTGTGTGTGCACCTAAGCTTACGACGGCTCCAATGAGCCTTGAACAAGCTTCGATCGCTGCGACCACCTCGTGGCATAAAGCCTATTAACGTCCGCTGCGGACACGTTCTGGCATGCTCGAAAGCGGCCTTCTTGGAATTCAACAATTCAGCAAGTCTTGGCAAATAACTTTGGCACAAGCCTACTCCGCCCGCTGTGGGCACGTGCGTTTCCAAAGCAAGGGAAACAACGACAACCCCCCGTTCAACGGGTCCACAGCCACTCGTCGGGGTCACCCTGGGCTGACACGAAGGTCAGACACTTGTAGAAATGTGTACTGACTCGGTTGCGGTTTGCCACACGCCGGCCTAAGTGCAAAACCTAAGGTTCCAGGTGAGTTAAAGACAACCAAAGCAACTTGTATCCTCCGTGAGGCCTCAAAGAAACCTCCAAAAAGTTCATCAACTCGAAAAACCGAAGAGTGTGCGAAATCGACAGGATGACGGCGATCGTGCTCATCCGCAGAACTCACTAGCACTTTACAGCAGCCTAATGGACCTGGAAACAGCCTGCACGAGGGTGAACCACTGGAGTCAATGTGTTCGAAGCAGGCACGTCAACTCGGCGTCCCGAGTTGATATCACAGACCAATGCAAGCGTCATTGTCAGTGCCAGACTTGCATGGTCCCTGGCACCCCCTGCATTAACAATCCAACAGGATCCCTGTGACTCTAAGGGTTACACACAGACACACGCATATTGTTTACGAAGAAGTAGATGCAGAGGGAGGAACCTCATTTTCTTCAGAGAACTGCCAACCTCCTATCCTCAGTGTTTGTATCATCCCTTAGTAGCCCAATGATTTGTTGCTTTGTTCTCAAGCACTGACTCCGATCAGGAGTTGCTGCTGACCAGTAGTCTTGGCAATCCCCACAGCTCCAGGGCCAGCGAAGAGCTGTTGGACCGAAGCCGAGACTTGGTTCTGCAGGGGCCCCAGATCCGGGGCTGGCCGACACCTGAACGCGCACTTGCGCACAGTAGAGGATCCAGCAGCGTCATTTCTGTTGGTGCATGCCAAGCCCGCAGAGAGCCCTGAAGAGGAGTCTTATTGTTGTATCACTGTATCACCGCAACAACTGCAGCTACGACAATGCAGCACTTACAAGTACAGCTCATACAACTGCCACCCTCTTCGCTCACGCTCGCGCTGCTATTGCATGCTAGTACTGCGGCTCCTCTCATAGCTGCGGTAAGCGCAGTGCTTGACATAGCAACACGATACAGCTTGTCATGAATATGTATGCTGTGCATTGCTGTGCGAAAGTGCGGGTCTTTGATGGTCTTTGTTCACTCTTCTCTCTCTCTCTATATATATATACATATATAGAGACCCTTCGCACCTCCGGTAGTAGCGAGTAAAAAAAATACTATGAGCTGCTTCATGGGACAGCTGGAGCATTTAAGCCGAGACGTGCCGGCCCGGCGTGTCGTCCAGGCACATGTTCCGGACGACCAGGGCGACACACAGCGTGGTTTTCACCTCTGGTGCTACACAAAGCCTGGAGCTTCTAGGAGAGCATTATCCTTGGACAGTGAATGGTGGCTGCTTTCTCTACGCAGATGAGAGCCACACCAGTCACTCGGGATCCAAAAATGGATGGAGGGAATTGACACCACAGACCCTGAAAAGTGGTTCTTCAGCACCTCTCAAGCTGGGTCTTCAGGAATTTTCAAGTCCTTTGTATGGTAATTGTTCCATGGCCGAGGTGGAGTTGACCCAGTTTTCATCATCAAGTCAGTCTTGACCCAATTTGAGAGCCTTGTCAAACTGCAAGTTTGAGCTCCCTCCGAGTGTCATCTCTGAGGGCCCATGATGGCACATGTAAGACTATTTCTTAGAGCCAGTATCGACACCAACTTCCATGTTCATGTTGAACGGTTTCCCCTCAGATCATCCCAAGTTCAACATGAAAAGCCGGGCCTTGTCTCCTGGCTTCACATGTCACTCAAGGCGTCTTGGGGCTTCGCCAGTTTGCTCGCCGCTCCAACTGGGCCTTTGGGACCTTTGCCTTGGAAGACCTGCCAAACTTGGCAAATGACTTGTCAGCTCCCAAGCTGCAATCGGGCAGGAGATCAGGGATCCATTAGAGATGGATTAGATCAAGCATCCCAGTGACGACAGCAATCACTGCCCGGCTGGAGGACAGCCTCTCACTGGCAAGCAATCCCGGAGTAAATTCCATGGCTGCCGAGGGGAGTGTGCATTGTTGTTGAACACAATCAGTGAAATTCATATAGCAGTTGTTTTTCGTGGTATATTTTCCAAATTCACCAACGGTTATGGCCATGCCTGGTCCTCAAGTTTGCTTCAGACACACCATACTATACCCATACAACTTGTATAAGCTTCCTGGAGGTGAATTGGTGCACTTAGTGGATCCAGGTGGGGTGTATGGGTTCTAGATGCTTCTAGTATCCCTTGAGCCGGACTTACTGAAGTTCAACATATTTCAACTATATGCTTTTGAAACGGCAAAAGAATAACATCAATAATACAGGGTTATGCAGTATGCATATGGCGTTTTTATTGAGTGTTTTTTTGCTTGCTCTGCAGTGAGAACACCTGAGGCTGCCAAGATGATCGAAGGACAAGTTCCAGAGAGCATTGCTGGCTGCAACCTCCTGGCTTTTCCAGGTGAGTCCAACTTCAGTGGACTTCGGACAGACTTGTCATGTCTATCAGCTCTTCGCCAGGGTCCTCAGAGGTGGAGACTTCTTTTGGACGCCGCGAAGCTCGCATGTTCACCTGGAAGTCTGGATCTCAGCCAATGCCCTGCAGATTTCACCGTGATCTCCTTTTACAAGATCTTCGGATATCCCACGGGCCTAGGAGCTCTCCTCCTTCGCCACGATGCGGCACCGTGCCTTTTCCCCCGCGACGCCCACGGCCCCAGCGGCCCGTCGGGGCCGCTCTACTTCGCCGGCGGCTGCGTGTCTTCGGTCTCGGCCACGTCGAGCTTTGTGGTGCCCAGACCCTCCTTGTCACAGTGGATGGAGCGGGGCACTCCGCATTTCCAAGGGATTTTCACACTCTCAGTGCAACTGGCCACGGTGCGACGACTGGGCACCGACCTCGCTCGCAGTCGACATGCTTTGGCCGTGTGCCATGAAGCTTTCTTGCGCACCGCGCGCCTGCGACACAGCAACGGGCAGCGGCTCTGCCGGATCTTCGGAGCTCATGAGGAGATCCGCTGGGCTGAGCTGCAGGGGCCAACCTTGGCCTTGGAGCTGCACTATGCTGATTCTTCACCTGTGCCATATGGCCTGGTGGCTGAACGTGCGGCAGCTCGAAAGATCATGCTGCGGACAGGATGCCATTGCAATGCCGGAGCTTGTCAACGTTATTTAGATCTGAAGGGTGGGGGGGGGGGCGGCAATCTGACCGCTGGGATCGCTTGAGGAAGATGCAAAGATAGCACTATAATGGATGTATATAGTTCTTTAGATTCGTAACTGAGTTCCATTGGAGTTCCACACCACATTTGTCCTTGTATTTCGATGTATTTCCTTGGGACCCTCCACCCACCGGTGCATACCCCGGTGGATGTGTGGCTCCAGGACGAGGACATCCGGCACTTCCACGCCTCGGGGAAGGTCTGTGGCGATGATCGGGGCCTCATCGAGGGACGGTCCACGGGGATCGTCCGGGTGTCCTTCGGCCTCTACTCCACCATGGAGGATGCATGGCGCTCAACGGGCCAAAAACCTGGGAGAGATAACCAGATGAACACAGCCAGCATTGTAGTTAGATGCCGATTTCAAAAGTAGCAAAACCATTTGGGGAGTGCATGAAACTAATGGGACCAGGTGTGCAATAGATGGTTCTGAACACAAAAAGATCAGAGTTCTTAGTTTGGAGCGCTTCAATAGTGACATCCTTTCAGAATCAGTCCCATTTCGTGTTCGATTCCTTCAGCAGGGCACAAAACCCGGTGAAGACATCGCTCCTTCAGGATGTGTCCAGATGGATTGAGTTGCTGGTTGAGTTCCAAGATCTGCTTCCCACGGAACCGAAGATTTTGGCCGAGAACCTCGCGGCCACCAACCACTTGACGAATCCGACAGTCTCTGCATGGCCTCGTACGTCGATGGGAAGAGTGCGAGCAGTGAAGATCTATCCTGTGACATGGAAGGACTTGGGAGTTCTACTGCCACGTTTTTCTTTGGTTTTAGCAGGTTCGATTGCAACCTTGGGGGATCTCAAATTGACCATGGTGTTCCCGTTGACCACAGCAACTAGTCTTTAACAAGCACAACAATAGAGCTAACCTTTTCCATCTAGTCACGAGTTGCAACAACACTGACAGATAGACAGGATGATCACTCTTCTATCCTGAGGGCTACCGGTTTCTATATAGGTTTCTTGAACTGTGGACTCCACGTGGACTGTATAATAGTGTTAAACAAAATTGTTTACTGTACTCAATTCTTTGGTTCAAGATCACAGGTGATCCCCAGTTTCGAAACAAAGAACCACCAGCTTGCCCCAGCGGCCTGTTTCAGGTAAAGGGTTGTGGCCCTTTGCGCGTGAACCGCTGGCCTTTAGACCCCAGCGGCAGCTTGTTCTTGGACCGCCGCTGGTGTTTGTCGCTGGGAACTCGACGCTCCAAGCTGAGACCGGTGAGTGCCAAGCAGGCGCCACGGCTCACGACAGTGAGGATCTCGTTGAGAGACTTGGCTCCGATGACCGGCCCCCTTTGGGCATGTTTTCTTGTTTTACATGTGTTTTATTTTTTTTAAACCAGCCTGGACGTGTTCCTTTTGTCCAGATTCGCTTGCAGGTTTTAAATTGTTTGTCCAGATCGATTCTTGATTTGCTGGTAGTTGTGCTTTCGGCTGCATGCTTTGAAAGGAGGTCCCTCTTGCAAATCCAAGGAGGGCGGGGGAGGAGCTTTGTGTTGCTCCTCTCCAGCAAGTTTCATCCTGAGACCTTGGAGATTGCTCTGAGTGAGGAGGACTCAAAGATCCTGCAAGCCAATGGTGTAGCTGCAGATCCTTTGGATACCACGAGGAATGGAGCAAGGATGCATGAAGAGAAGCCAGCCGAAGCTGAACTGTTGAGTTTTTTGTGTTTTTCCTGCCCTCACCCAGAATTTGAGGGGACGAGGTGGTGGTTAGCTCATAAATCCACACCAGTCGGGATGCTGATTTGCTGGTGTTTCGCGGGGCTGGGACATTCATTATTTAACCGTTTGACCCGTGTAACAGCTGTGGGGTCTCCACTTGTGGACCTGAGATTGGTTATGGTTGGCCTTGGGAGAAGAGATTTCTGACGACGGTCTGACGATGAGCTTGGTGGCCAAAAACTCCCGAGAAAAGCACAACATGCACTGAAAACCGGCTGGTCTGTCCATTCACACCGACATGCCTGGATGCTTCCACCTAAACTTATTCCAAGCTATGATATCGTAGCTTAACTAAAAGTTGATGAGTACGACCTTTCGGGTTGAAACCCGAACTTGCGGTGCTCATGACCGATCTTTCCCCGCTTCCCATGGCTGAACCTCTAAGGATGCATCCAATGCTGATGCTTCCATCTGGTTTGAGCAGCTCTTGGACCTCAAGGACCTGCAACTGCGCTGTAGCTCCGACGGCACCGCCGGCACGGGCGAGGCACCCGCGCGGACGGACTTTGCCAACGCGCCCAAGACACTGCTGACGCTTGGGCGGGGAGGTTCGATGGGCCAGTGGTCGGACGAGGGCGATCACCCACTGAAGGACAGATCTTAGCAGATGTTTGGGTGATTTGTCTTCACTTTTTTTGTTGTTGTGTGCGCGCGCCACCTTCTCGTTGATGAACTTGAGTAATTAAGTCCCAGCATGGTTGCGTGGCCGAACGGGGCTAGGCTACCCTGTTCGGGACAGATGGCTGAGCAAGAAATCAAGCCTTGGGCGCAAATCGCATATCAACCCTTAAACCCTTTGCAAGCTAGCTTGCAGCTTGTTGGAGTGCACGAACATCTCCAGCAACTCATTCGGCTCTTTTCTTGCACCACCTCCTTCCACCACGTTTCCTGTGACAATCGATGCCAGATGAATCTCCCCCCAACCAACCCATGTATGAATAGCCCTTTTCGCCCCCTCCGGGAGCATCGAGGATGGTCTCCACGGCCTCCTTGCGACGCTTCGGCGAGCTTTGCGGCTTAGAGGTGCCGGCGGAGCGGTTCCGGGCCAACGTGGAGGTGGACTTCGAAGAGCCCTATGAGGAGCGGTGTTTTGAGGGCAGGTTATACTGAGGGGTAAGATGGAGATTATTTTGGATGGGAAGAGGGAAGAATTCGGGAAGATCCTGATTGCGGGGTCATGATCTTGAAGGATTTTTGGAGGGAGGGGTTGGGTTGAGGAGGTTGGGAGGTGGCACTTTTGGAGAGGGATTGGTGGAGCTTGGGGAGGAGGTAAGATTTAGGACGCCTGGACAAGCAGAAGAGGTGGAGACTTAAGACTTTGGGCAGCTGGGGAAGATGACTTGGAGGTTGGGGGATTGGACAGATGGATCAGAGAGGATCAGAGTGGGTTTGAAGAACAGTGGAAATATGAAGATTGATTTGGATGGTGTGAAGTGCAACTTCATGTGGAAAAGTCTCCAGATCTCCCGTTTCATGTAATTATCCTGTTCACGACATCCCAAGTTGCAAGCGCGCCACCATTGACTCCTGCCATTATCATTAGATATTCCATTGCAATCTCCGTCAAGACACGGCAACTAGTGATCCAAGCTCCTTCGATTTCTTTTGGCCTCCTTCCTCCATGGCAAAGAGAACTTCTTCATCCATCTTCCAACCTACTTTTGCTATTATTTAAACCAGGACCCGATCCTTCCCCATCCTCCCTCTGCCTTTCCACTTGGATCATTGCCTCTCATCCGCTTCAAGACGCAGGAGATGTCCTGGCCAGTGGGTTTGGCCCTTGGCCTCACCGACGAGCCCCACGTGGCGCCCGGTCGACTCCACTTCGAGGTGGCCGGGCGCTGCGTCCGGTGTCAAGCGGTGGACATCGACCCGGAGGACCCGGAGCGCTCCAGCGGCGTGTCGCTGCTGGCGGCCTTGGCCACGAGCCAAGTCAGCTCCGAGAGCTCCAAGGGGCCCACGTTTGGGGTTTTGCTCCGGAAGCGAGGCCACTGGCAAGAGAGGCCAATGCTGGAAGTGGGCATGTCATTAGAAGCTGAGGCGTAGGCTTGGATTAGACTTGAGCAAAAGGACGATGAGTTCAGTGCAGATGGCAAGCCATGACTTTAGACCGAGCTTTCTACAATTTGAAATCACTGTATATACTTATTACATAATCAGCAATTGTGTTTCCGCACTTCATGAGCATTGCTGGAATCCAAGCCTGGCCCCAATGTTGTTTTCCGGCCCGCTGCTGGCCGCCAGGGCGGCTTCTGTGGGAAAAGATTTGGTGCGTGATGGCTAGTGCAAGTTGTGTGCTAAAGGTCTTCTGGGACTTTAGCAGAGCGATGCTTCAGAAATCACCGTCACTGATGATGAAATGCAGAGGTGCAAAGCAGCCTCCCACCAGAGAGTGGTTTCTGTTATGAATCCAAATGAATCCAAAGAACACCAGGGGCTGAGCAGCAATCACCTAGGATGGCGCTCTGGCGAAAGACAGACATCTCATTTGGGAGAAGCTCTTCTCCCTCGAGGCAGGACGAAGCAACTTCTCCTGTGCGGTCACCCCATGTCACCCCCATGTCACCATTTGGTCTCTAAGTCTTATGATGACATGAAGAAACAAAACCGGTTTTGTCATGAAGTCTTACCGAACAACCCATGAGCGCTCACATCGTCTTCGATACCCAGCAGGTCCACCCAGCGATACGTTCCGCAGGTTCCGCAGGTCCACCGTGTTCCACCCCGCTCCAAACGACTCAGAGCTTCGCCTCCAGGATGGCGAGGAGGCTGCGGAGTTCTGCAAGGCAAAACTCCGTGGTGGTCTGGAGGGCCAGAGGTGTGGGGTGATTGGGTGACAAAAGAAGCGAGTTGCAGGCCAAGGGCTAGAGCTGGATGTGTCTAAAACCTTTCAAGTAACTTGTATTGGATTTCGTGGTGATGCTGAAGCTACAGGTCTGTTGACATTTGCATCGGCAATTTTATCAGGCAATTCACTTGTGTTAGACCCATGCAGCTGCAAGATAGAGCCCACAGAGATGTCTCTTCAAGGAACCTCGATGCATCTCTGGCCTTTCGATTCCTGATGCCATTGGGTATTCTTGAGAAGCAATCTGTGTTTTGGGTGGTATACTGCCCTGCACTTAACAAAGTCAAAAAATCACTTCCCTTATTTTTGACATGTTTAAATCTCCCTATGAGTTGGGGAGAAGGCTGCAATGTTTGGCTTGAACTCCCCAAACATAGGGCACCCCGTGAAGTCACAGCTTTCACTTTCTCTCTTTAGGACCCGTTGTGATTCGGTAGGGCATGGAACAAGCATGTGCTCTTTAGTACCATCCGTACAAACTTACAGCAGCAGTGCTGTTATTGAATCTCTGTCTACACATTCAAGCAAGGATATGATTCTCTAGAACATGTGGAAAGTCAAGTCTCTGACCACTGTTTGGACTTTCGGCGGATGATATGTTCTTTTCTTGCTGGTCACCCTGATTGAAACTATTTATTTTCAAAATGCAGCTGCACTTAAGGAAATCAGTGCAGTAAGGGGAGGGCATGCCATACCCCCCCCTTAGGGAGGTCGGTAGCGCTACCGACCTCAGTAAGCCCATGGCTCTCAATCAATGGGGCATGGTTTTTGCATTGATTTAAGCATCCCTGAATTATTTTCACCTGCACTTAAGGGAATCACATGGAGGCTTACTGCAGTCGGTAGCGCTACCGACTGCACTAAGGGGAGGGCATACCAAGCCCTGTCACTACTGAGGTGATTTCCTTAAGTGCAGGTATGAAACTTTTTGAATAGGTGAATTATTTTCAATTCTAAGTTCGAATTGGGGGAGATGGTCCACTATCAAAGGAGAGAGTAGGAGAGAGAGGGGCGTGAAGCCTGGCTGCCTGACCGATTGTTCATTTAACAACCAGAAGTGAGCTTTACGGCTACAGGACCGTTTGGCTGCATGACAGATCTCCGGTTTGGCTGCATGAGGGTCTCCTTTGCCCTTGTCCCATGGGCAGGTTAACCCACCTTTTCTATTCGGGCTTTAATGTTATTGATTGATTTTATTGGATTCATCATTGAGTACTTCCGAGCTGCGGTCCCAGCAGCAATTATTTTTAGATGCAGGAATGAAATTTTGACATCGTTAAGTGCGCCCCAGTATAGCAATACAGGGAGCGAGATGGGTCGGGATGCTTCAGGAACATCTTCGTCGAGGATTTTTTGATGAGGATGTGGATGTTGGAGAGGCTTGGAAAGGGACGACTCCAACGGAGGCTTCAATGAAACGAAGCGGAGGAATCTGCTTTCCCGCTGAGACGATGGGTGAGAGACCTCTCCAGCTGTGGAGACGCGTTCAAAGATTGACACAAACAGGATAGTATTTAGTTTCATCAGTTTCAGCAAGCTTCCATTGGTGGAGTCCCCGTCCTTGTGGATGGGTATGGCGTATTATGGCGTTAAGACATGATAAATTTCACTAGGCCACTAGGGCATGCAGTGCTTTGGTTGTTTTGGGGCTTGCAGTAGAGTCGTTCTTTTCATGGAGAACTTTAGAAACCTTCTGACAAGAGGCTGAACAGACGGCATCTTTGATCCCCCACCGCTTCCGACTCAAAGCCAGGAGATCCGTGCCATGCTACAGAACATGTTTGGAGGCCATAACAGGGCTGAGTAGCTTGTCTCCGCCACAGTGGCAGAAGCCTTGCTTTGGCCAGGGAAGTGCCATTGAACCATGTAGCAAAGCTCAACATACTAATTAATTTGTGCCCCCTGCTGTCGAATGTTAATTTGGGAACACCCCAGTTCTACAAAAGCACAAAAGCCGCACATGAGCTCCCCTGTGATGCACTGTCGTTTCCACAACAACGCAACGACCCCTGCAAGACTTTAGGGTTGTTGAAGAGTGAACATGACATAGCATGGAGCAGTCTGATTGATCTTGAAGCTTGATTTGTTCTTCCATGCGTATGGAGTCGAAATGAGGAAGCACATAATGAGCGTTGTCGGACCGGCCAAAGCCCAGCGGAAAGAACCCGCTGGCAGGCTCTAGTAGCAGCCAATCCTCGCAGGCATGGCATGACAGGTGGTAACCACCCGCCCCAACACACCGGGGAGAAACCGCAGGGAACCGATGAATTTGGAACGGGTGTCTGGAAAAACATAAAAGATCATGAACGTCCTCCGTAAGAACACTAAGACATATTAAGAGTATTCCACAAACAATCGTTTTTTTTTACTTTTTCTGGGTTGCGTGTTCAGAAATGCTCATTGTCAAGAGACTACTGGATCTACTTCTACTGTCCACGTTCTATCCCGAACTGCCAGCTTCCGGGCCAAGTCCTGACATCTGCCATGCTTTGAAAGATTTGGAATGGCTTTCGGTACGAACCACAGCAGGGGTCTCTTTGGGTGACGCCAAGACGGCGACTCGATGTGACAGGATCCAAACCTTGAGCACTCGCAACCATCCTCTTTCGCGTTCACCTCCCAGCCTTTCGTGCAGCTTCATGTGTGGTGTGTTGTACTTTCATCACCAGCTTCATTGGACGTGTCAGTGACCTGAGGCCCTTCTCTGGAAAAGCACATCGATTGGAAGAGGCTCAGTGCCTCACCTTGGCTCCAGAAGTTCAACTCACTGAGATGTTGAATGATGCCTTCAAGGGAAGGTCCCAGGTTGTTTCACAAACCGTTGGCCCAAGTTCGCAGCACTCCAAGATCCAAGATCTTCTTGTGTTGGACCTCCGAGCCAGATTTTTGGTCAAAGACTCTGGTCATGTTTTTGGTTTCCAGTAGATGCCAAGTTTGCATCCTTCTTGCAGGATCCTCCAGCGAAGAACTCCTGGGTCAGCATACTCAGCGGCGATGCACTGGCTTTTGCGCTCAATCTTCGAGCCCCAAAGCTAGCGGGGAAGACAGTGATTCTATAGATGCAAACAAGGAAGGTATGTGAACAAAGCAGCCCATCAATGGAGATATGCAAAAATGAAGCTTTGAACAGCTTTTGTAACACGCTTGGGTCCAGTGTCTGAGCCAAAACCTCGGACATGCTCATGAACATGTGTGATCAGTTTGCTCAATTTGTTGCTGAGCTCATGGTCCAACCTGAGGGGTGAACACCCCCACCAAGCCAAATGGCAGTATAAAGTTCCTGCGGCTTGTGTGCTTTCTTCTCTGACAAGAAGAATGTGAAATACTCAGCAAGTGTGGCCAATACTGGGTAAGCAGAGCACCCCGCCTCCATGCTACCGTGCAAAGGACGGGGTGGACAAGTTTGGGCTACAATAGCTCACAAGGTCCTCTTTCCTGGCATTCTTTGTAGGAAGCATGATCGCAGGAAGCGATTCGGGATCAGTCTTAGAATCTTCAATTTGAGGCGCTGACCTTTGTCTCGAACCTGGAGGTGGCGCGCTCGAGTCGGAGGAGGTTCCGGACACACCAGTGTGACATGTTTCTTTTTTCTATTCTTATTCTTTTCCGTAGAATTGGTGGTTTAGGCCCAGAAACCTACCGCCAACTCAGAAATCTGTCATATAAAATATTCAGAGTTGTGATGGAACATATTGTTGTTGTGTAGACATTCAAAACATACTATGTGTGGCATTACGTAAACATCCGCCATCATCGCTGGATGTGTTCATGAAGCATGCTTGGAGGAGCCGTGAAGAGGCCAAAAGGAGTGGGCGGAGCTGAGCGTTGATTTCATGGACTAGGTGTTTGTTATGTTCAATGCCCAGTGACCAACACCAAGCTGAGGAGCAGGTATGAATTGATATTCGGAATATTCGTGTGATTTCTGCTTATCTTGTGTGCAAATGTCTGGGAACAGGGCTAATATGGGCTAATAAGACTTGGGAATAGGGTACTTGGTCCGGCAGGATCTACCGTTGGACCTTCAGTGCTCATGCCGTCAAAGAGACCAAGACAGATACTGCCAGCTACACCAAAGGCCTGCAGGAGCTGGTTCCTTGTGATTGATTTCAAGCCTCTAGGGGCGGTTTGCTTCTATGATTGAGGACGCTGTAAAAGGAATTGAGCACTGGCCTTCAGCATGAAGTGTTTGTGGGATCCCATTTAAGAGCGATGATTGCCCCGTTTGACGGGGGTCACCGTTTTCTGTCGAATCGCACTCATTAGTCTGGGCGGTTGAACCGTGTCTCTTCACCGCTAGAGTGTGCTGTGCGTCTTCCTCACCGGTGTCCCTGGCCTTCAGGTAAAGATGCTGGGGAGAAGAGAAAGCAGCAAATAGAGAGCCGCTGCTTTGCAATATGGGCCTGGAGGGAGGACCCATTGACTCGACATGTTCTTAGTGGAGAATCTGAACGAATCTCAGTCTCTTGTGATTTCTTGACAGTTTTTTTGACTGTTTGGTCTGTGGCTTTAGCGGACAGTTGGCAGTTCTCATCATCTATCAGGCCTGCTTATATACAGAACATGTCGAATCATATCAGAGAATCTAGATCCCCACCCCGAAAAACATGTTGGACAAAGAAGTAGGGAGGCTGGCCGGAGGGCTCGGAGTCTAAGTCGCAAGGTGCTTCGGGCACAGCCAAGAGGAAGTTCCGGAAGGCTCCGCCGTTGGCCATCACCAGATGAGGCGTGAGAGCAGGGATCATTGCTTGGTAAAACAGATTCAGATGCTGGCCAAACTTGCAGTGCCGATTCTTCTCAACATGTATAGCTGTCATGGAAGAAATTGCCACTTCTCTTTGCGAAGGTGATGCATGGTTGTTTCTTGAGAACATGCAGAGCGTAGCACTAGCAAGTGGTTGTACAACAAGCCCCAGTTCTGTGCGTGTGAGAGATGAACTTGTTTTCCAGTCGCTGGCTCGTACCTTGCGTCAAGCCTTGCGTCTCCGAATCGATGATAAACACAAGTTCCGTGTCAGAGTGACTCAAAGTGACTCCAAGTTTGAGATCGATGAGCTTGTTGGGAGACGTGTTTCTCAATGGTGGTCACAGACTGTCACAGATTTAACTGTTTCATAATGTTTCATATGTTTATTTCTCCTGAGCTACTCGTGTCAGCGAGTTACTAGTGGTTCACTGGAGATTGGGTGAAGACTCACGACGGCCATGGTCATGTGCACGGCCAGGGGTTCGCGATGTTCCAGGGAAGTGGTTCTTTTGGATGGCAGCCATTTCCAGATTCCAGGAGTTGAGGTTTCCGTGTGCAATTCCCAGCCTTGGGCCCTGGAGAAAGGGAAGCGCCAAAATCTTTGTTCTCTCGCACCAACTTGCCCCAAACTACATACATTCATGACCTTTCTTGCAAACCTCGCACGTGACCCTGTTCTTGGTCCACTGAGAGCGACATGTTGGGCACTGGGAAGGTCTCCACCGACCGCCGGGAGCGTCCAAACTGGAGCTTCACGTTGAAGGCGAGGAGACGATGAGATCAGATGACCATGGCAAATTAACTTTTGGAGTTGGCCAGACTGTCCAAGAAGGATCAAGAAGGGAATCATGGTACTGGTATGTACTGGTAGGTGGAGTTCCAAACTGAAGATGCTCTGTTCCAACGAACACGTTTCTTTTGTTCTTTCTTTTATGGAGTTCACCGAAGGATTGCAACACGAGTTTCACAAACCGCCAAGTTCAGAGGCAAACGGGAGGGCAGTGCACAGAAAAGGGTTTTACAAAAACTTATTCTACTAACATCGTGAAAGGCGCGCGACATTCGTAGAACCCGGGGCTATTCGTGGACATTTCGTGGAATGGTGGGCCAGTAGGAGAACTGACTGCAACAAAATCCCAGAAACCTTCGCCGAACTTCGTGGAAGGTATTTTTGATGCACTAACTTCGTACAATTAAGCGATTCTTGCTAACCCCCTTTCTCCGCACACCCTCCATTTAGCCTTCACAAGTTCTTGTCCTCCACGACTTGGTGTTTGGGGTTTCTTAAGATTTCGTCCAAAGGGTTGAGGAGGTGATGGGTGCTGCACACGTGCCCCACGTTCCAGGCTGGTGGCCAGCCACGCGCAGCTGTCCGCAAAATGTGGGGCATTCTTTGCAGCCATGTCCTGTCTAATTGCAAAGTTTGAGCAACCTTGGTATGACGCATGATTGATCACGTCGAGGGTTTGGGAGTTTCATCCAATTTGCCTTTCAGGGTTATGTTGCAAATTCAGAAAGGATAGACAGCACTTGCGAATCCAAGCGAAAAATAGAACTGGGCAATTGGGCCTCGGGATACTGAACGATGGTGTTGCGAATCGTTCCTTGGGGTAGTGTGACCATGTGTGACTTGGGAAGTCCGGGTGAAGTCTTTGGATTCGGCCTCTGCAGCTGGGGCGGTTGAATCACCCTGAGACACAAATGCACCAAGGAACAGAACCTGCACCTCGTGAATGAAACAGTTTTGAACACCTTCATGACAAAAGGCTTTATATGGCTTCGTCCATTTTGTTGCACCACTGCCACTGCCTGGCTTCTTTGGCTGCAGCTTGGAACATCACCCTCTTCAGGGCATCAACAACAGTTTTGAATGTGCAAAAAGATTTGAGAGTGAAAGGCCAAGTAACCAAACCAGCAATATTAGAGTTCCCGAGTTTCCCGAACTCGCTTCAGAGCAACATCCGAGACAAAGCTGTGCAGTTAGAACGCAATATTGGCTTTTGATGCTTGGCCCCAAAGTTTAACAACGTTTGACTATTACATAATTCCAAAACGACTCAAAAAGGTCTCAAGGATTGATTCATGTTGCCCGCCTGCAAACCACTCGTGCACACTCAACATCAGTGCAGTTTCACATTTTTCCTTTGCTACAAACACGCCTCCCTACTATCGTGGCCTGGCCTTTCCAAGCACTGGAGCTGCTCGCGAAAGATGGGGCTGACGCTCAGCCTTTGCCCTGCCGAGCTGGCACATCATGGTTTAAGTTTTGACTCCAAGTTTGAGATCGATGAGGCCCGGTTTGCGATGTGATCTCAACCCTCAGACACACTCGGAGTCACTAACATCCAAATGGAAAAAATACACTTCCATGATGGTGTCAGGGAGTGTACTTTCCATACCCCACACTCACATCATCTCGCGTCCAGTGACTCACCGTCCAGTGACGCTGACGCACCGGTACTCACCGGTACTCCCCGGTCAGGGCAACGTGTTGGGCACCGGGAAGTTCTCCACCGTCTACATGTGCTTTCGCCGGGGACAGCCGAACCGTCGCTTCGCGCTCAAGGCGACGGCGGATCATCCGGAAGGGCGGGGTGGGGACGTCTTCGCAATATAAAAATGCCAATACGACCTAGAGTCGAAAGCAGGAACATCATGGCAATCCCAAATCCTTTTGTACATGTTGTTGTATGAAATTGCTGGGCACGGTCTTAGTTCCGTGGAGATGCAGTGTGTGTGTGTGTTTTTTCACGCGAAACGAGTGACATCTCCAAGATGCTCGCGTGAATCAAAGGTTCAGTTCTCCAAGATTCTCACTTGAAGGCTAAACAGCTAAACCAACGGCCTTAGAAGAGATAGACTCGCGGCCTCCATGTGTAGGGTTTCTCAAGTGTTTGAAGGCCTTGGGAATCAATGGAGGTCATGGGTTTTTCTTCAACCCGCTGCCGCCCCAACCGCCACCAGGCGATTTCCACCTACACAGGTGATGATGCATCCATGAACCGCATCCTCGAAGAGATTAATATCATGAAAGACCAGCTCTCAGACAGTGATATTCTGCTGTGGAACTGAAGTTGCCCTTGATTCTCAGGCAATTCAGGTACAGTTGGCAGTCCTTTGTTCCTAAGCGCTGCCTAGAATTCGGTCTCTAAATACATCGGAGGCATAGAGGCACTGGGCAGTTTGTGAGTTTCAACAGATTGCAAATATTTTGCTACATCGACAGGTCATCCAACGTATCCTGCAGTCCAATTTCTTCAGTGAAACGGATTGTTAGCACATTAACTTCCTTCACCAGTATTCATTGTTATTCGACTGGACATGTATAGTAGCGTACATGCCTGCTGCGCTGATTGACACCACCACATCACACACCGACCAGTCCCAGTTTTTCAGGTCATCGAGTATCACCAAAGCATCATCCGGCTGGTGGACATGGATCAGTCAACTTCGAACACAATTCGCTTGGCCTGGCACCCAGCTTCGCTTGGCCAGCATCGTGAAATAGGGCCTGAGAAAGACTCCTGGAAGGAGGATAAATATCCCTCAGCTCGTCAGCTGTTTGTGGCCTCCCACGTTTGATTTGTTTGACTTCAACCTCGTAGTGTTGCTACCCGTCTTCCTCTATCCGACTCGATCCTTCTTCTCCTCAACTCTACAGTGTCCACCATGACAACTTTGCCGCTGGTGATGAGGTCTTAGAGCTTTGTGAGGGTGGGGAGTTGTGCCTTGGCTGCGATGGAAGGCTTGATGAACCGTAACCTGAGGACGCCCTTTAAATCCAAGTTGTGCAAGTGACTTCACCCTGGGAAGGAAGCTAGCAGCCACAACACATTTGTAGAAACTTGCTCGCATCTCCTTTCCCCTAGATTTCCGGACGTCAAAGTCGATGTTCTGCATCCTTTCGTCAGCAGAATGATTAAGCTATATTAAGCTGTGTTTGCTGGCAGTTTGCTTTCCAATTAGATTCATGAAGCACATGCACATAAGAATATCGATCGCACTTGTACTGTATATGTGTGTCAACAGTCTTCAGGCCTACACGTCATCATTGTGCCATCTCTGGATCTACTGCATATTTGATCCAGAAGAAGATCCGTGTAGAAATCTCATTCATGTGATTCATGTGAGGTATGATCGCATCCAGCAAAAGAGGTACTACTCGGCAATGCTGGCTGCTATTGCTTTTGCTTGTTTTGTTGCGGTGAATGCGGTGTTCGCACACCTAACCAAGCCCGAACGGTCTATGTGTGGGATATGCACTGTAGTTTTGGATATGTGTTTCAATCGGTGATTCATGGATCCATGCCGCAGCCTTGGGCGGCACGGACCACAACCTGATTTCCAATCAAAGCTATCGGCTATCGTACTCGCGGATCCTGGTTGACCTGTTTTTTTTCAGCGTGCTCTTCAAATCATTGCATCGTAGAATATCGTAGACTACGTAGCTCTGCATTTGTCGTTAGTCCCTTTGTTATGTTTTTCCATCGAGCCTCAGATGATGAACGATTCTGAATGACTCGCCTTTCACAATGACATGTCAGGAGTCTGACACCAAGCTCCTGGTCAAGAACCTCCTGGAGGCTGCAGCTATGGCGACCCACAGGGGCAATGACTTAGTTTCTCCTTTTGTGTTGGCTTTCAAGAGTAGTATTCTGAGATTGAAGATTGTTGCAAGATGTTGCAAGTGCCTACATCCACGAGTAGTCAGGTTTCATCGGGATTTTTTTGTGGACAATTGGGGTGGTTTTAACAAGTGGCATATTCTACTGTTCCAAGGCTTTATCAACAATTGCTGTTGAAAGGATATCACTTGCCTTTTGCGTGTCGTGTCATGTTCTCTGAAACAGATAATTATATAAATTGACGTCCACGTAGATTTGTTGGGCAAGTATGTACACCTCGAGAGCTGAGCAGCTTCGCAGCTGAAAGGTATAGAAGAAATGCAAGTTGTCCTCCTTTTATACTGTATATGAATATGCAAGTTCCCTGCCCTGACCAGAGAATCTCCGAGTAACTAAAGCTCAAACAACTATATATATATATATAACAAGAGTCTCCTTTCAACAGAGTGTCACACTTCCAGCCAGAAGAAAGGGCAACATCCAGAACATCCGAGACCGACACAAAGCCAGGCGGTCTGCTTCATTCACAGCAAAGGCATTATGCACCGAGACTTGAAACCGGAGTCCTGGCAGAAAAATGAGGCAAAAAAGGAAAGCTGAAGTGATCCCGAACATTGGCAAGTATGGACAGACATTTTTTCTCTGGTTTGCCACCCACATGCCTTTATCATGTTGAAGCACATGCTGAATCATCATGTCACAGTGTGATCAGAGTGTGGCGTGAAGGCGTTTCGTGTGTGGTACACCATCCAATTTTGCCACATCCCCAGACTGGACAGCTTTTTTATTACGACAAGTCCCGTCTTGATGCACGTTCGGGGATTGGTTTGATGTGAAGTTGTTCTGTGTGAGAGCTGTTTTGCCCTCAAACCATTCGCACTCTTCTGTTCATGTTCCGGGTGTTTTCACCCTCCAACTGTCCATGTGTTTCGACCACTGTGGCACCTTCAAGCTGGGAGACACAGAAAACCAAATAAGCTCAGGAGAATATCCTCTTGGTGAGCAAGGCTGGCCAGGGTGGATTCAGGAAATACCCAAAGGTCTCCCCAAGCAGATTTGGAGGGGTACTGGACAGCCAAAATGCATCAGCATGCTCCATTTGCACAAGACCAACATGCCCCAGGGTGCGACATGTTGTTTCAGCTGGACCTAAGCCACAAGTCATAAGAGACCTTGAGGGGAACCAACGTCCCGAGACGCAGCTGCACAGCTGCCACGGCTGCACAGCTGCCCTTGCGGAATCTTTTGAGGCTCCTGGATTACACTTTGAAGATCTGGCAAATGTAGGGTATAGACTAGCAACATCTAGCGACGAGACTCGCGACTGGTGATTACTGTAGGTGTCAACATGCCCTGGAGGGGCAAGCCGCCTTTCCTTCCAGCAACCCCACTTTCAAGGACCTTCCAAATGTGTTAGTAGATTCTGAATAGCACCACCTACTAACATAATGACCATCTACTATGACCATACAGACATCGATCACATCATCGAATCAATGCAGTGCTGATCACATCATCGTATCAGCTCCGGAAGGTCAGCAACACTGACATCAAGGTCTCGGATTTTGGGCTCGCGAAGCCGGAAGCTCAAAAGCAAAGATGTAATGATAACGTGGCGTGTTTGGTTGTGGTTGGAATTCATGAGGGGAATGTGCATCGAGTAGTTTCTTTTTTGTATAGGTTATATTGGGAGCCCGTCAGTGGTCAAAGAGTCCAAGGGTTTGCACAGATGAAAGACTCAAATACAGAATTGATAATCTCTTTGTTAGGTATTATTGGGTACAACGTCATTGACATCGCTTCTCGTACTTGCTATAATAATCAATGATCTCTACTTCAAGTCAGATTGCCTTCCGTACTGACCAAGAGCTCCCAAGAATATTGGCTACATCTACTGTTTAAACACCAGTTACTCAGTACAGGTTGCTCTTGAAAGTTGCGAGGGCTTTAGGGATTGTTTCGCCACGGCGTGCCACGGCCAAGGTTGTCAAAGGACTGGCCTCGAAAACTCCCACGGCCAGCAGCCCAGTTTGTTCGGAAAAAAGAGCATCTCAGGCCATGCTGCTTGGGTTCGTCTGCTGAAGAGTACGATGAAGTCAAAGTCTGAGAACATCGATTCGTACAAGCTTGCGTGTCCCGAGACTTGCCATGTCTTTGTTTGGAAGAACAGACCTCGCGAGTCGCGAGACCCCAACACATTTGTTCAGTACAGAAAGATATTGAAACACTCCATGCGAAGTGGGTGGAGAGCTTCACTTCAGATGTCTTAATTCTAAAAGCGCAGCGAGAAATGAATCGCTTTGGACATTGCTTCCGGTACACCCGTCTATACACCAGCCCGCAATCCGACCGCCAGCCTACTCCCCCACTCAGCCCTCTTGGCAAGGTCGACCTCCATTTGTGGTTCCGACTTCTATTTGGCTCCGGAGGTGATCAAGCAGGAGGAGCTGCCCTGCGAATCCACCAGATGCCCATTGAGTGCAAGATCCATCTTCATCTCTCAAGGCCCACAAGTAGGTGAAAGATACTGAAACATGTACGTATCTAGATCTAAGTCAGTTACTGTAAGTTTCCCTTTAGAAAAATCTAGGAAGCAAATCATTAGTGCGAGCGCTTCTTCAACAAAGCTTTCTCTGAGACGTCAGTCGGGGGGAGCTTCCTTGAAGAAGCGTGAGCCATCCTGCATGCAGTTACTAATGGCTTCCAGTAGCTAGGAGCTTAGTCCCGTAATTAAGTAGGCGCCCACTTAATTAAGTAAGGAGACAGGGCCACGGGCTAAATTACTTTACTTCGAGTGATCCCCACCATGACATTTCAATCATTTGTCTTGATGCCATAGTGAGGAGCATGTTGCCATAGTCGTTAGTATTGTAGTTCTCGATGTTGCTTGTGGGTCCTCGGGTTGTGTGCTGTGGTTGTGTGCTGTGTTGTGGTTGTGGTTGTGTTTGTGGTTGTGTGTTTGTGGTTGTGTGTTTGTGGGTGTGGTAGTGGTTGTGATTGTGTGTTTGTAGTTGTGGTTGTGGTTGCGGTTGTGTCTTTGTGATTGTGTGTTTGTAGTTGTGGTTGTGGTTGTGTCTTTGTGATTGTGTGTTTGTAGTTGTGGTTGTGGTTGTGTGTTTGTGGATGTGTTTGTGGTTGTGTTTGTGGTAGTGGTAGTGGTTGTGATTGTGTGTTTGTAGTTGTGGTTGTGGTTGTGTCTTTGTGATTATGTGTTTGTAGTTGTGGTCGTGGTTGTGGTTGTGTCTTTGTGATTGTGTGTTTGTACTTGTGGTTGTGGTTGTGTGTTTGTGTTTGTGGATGTGTTTGTGGTTGTGTGTTTGTGGTTGTGTGTTTGTGGTTGTGTGT